GTAGATAAAGTTGATCAACACCCCAAAGCTTGACAGTCATTATTACCTCTTGATTGGTCGACATTATATCAACGTTACACAGTTTTGATGCTGTTTTATGTCTGATGATCGTGTTAGATTACACGTGGAAGCATCTGTTGTTTCGGTTTCTTCTTCACTTGTGTTTTTTGAAAATTCTGTACAGAAAATGTGTACTAGCGCCCCCTACCGGATAACAATTAAAACACGGATTCTAGGAACACAAGTATAGCTCAAATATATTTAGACTTTTTCTAAGTAGGCTAAAAGTCAAGTATACTTAAATGTCATTTTAAGTATATTTCTGAGAAGTACATAAAGCCCATTTCTGAGAAGTACATAAAAAGTAGACTAAAAGTATACTTTCCTATTTTTTGTTTAAAAGAAGTCCACTAATAGCACACTTTAATAAACGTATTTTTCGTAAGGGAGAACAAAAGTCAAATAGGTTTTAAAACAACCTGAGGTCAAATTTTTGGATGAACTCTCCCTTTAACTTGTCATACAGGTTATAGAATTAGCCTGACCAGTTTTTATAAATCAAAGCTAGACTAGACCTTGCAAATGGCATGTTGGCATGTAGCAGAGACAAATGTTTCGCCCAGACTTTAAGATATTAAGGTTAATGGTGTTTTTGTTTTTTTACGATTAAAGCAGTTCCTTTCATCTGCCGTGAAATCTAAACGTTCAGGCCCTCGGGACTCCAATGGTTTTCCAAAGTAAACAGAACGTGTTTCTCAGCTGCTGAATGGAAATCAATACAAATGGCTTACAGTGCTAGAAACAAGTCTTGTACTGCTGTAGTCATCTCTACTACAGAAAAACACAGCTTTGCTGAATTATTTTAAATCCCCTCTATGTTTAACCCACAAAACACCTCATCAACTACAAAAATGGCTTTATGTCTGCACTAAATGCCTCAAATTGAGTCCTTTCAGTTGGCTTTGCTATTTGCAAATGAGAGTTCAGTATGACTTCCTTCATTATAGACCTGCACTAACTGAGGCAAATCACAGTTGTCCCATAAATGTCAAACAAATCAGAAAAAGCTATCAAAAATAATAGAGAAATCGTATGGTGTGGTACAGTCCCATCAAATGGAATATTACAAATAATGGAATATTACAAATTTAATGCCACTGAATGCACTGTTCGTGTGGTGGATTACATCAAATGGAATATTACAAATTTAATGCCACTGAATACACTGTTCGTGTGGTGGTCGCATAATGGTAATGAGCTTGAATGCTGGTGCTTTATGATTAAGGGGAAACTTGCTCATGAGATGATGCTTGGACAACCCTGTGATTTTAAAATGTGAGATGATCTTAGAAGGGTGAGCTCAACTGTGAAGCCAGATGTTGGCTTTTACACATTGACTTTGTGCTGGCTGGAAGAACTCCACAGGAAATTTTCTGAGTGCTCTCTAACTTCCATCTCTCTCTTTGTTCAAGGTTTCACTGACTGCTTGCAGTTCACAAGAGGAGAGCAGACTGTTTCGGATCTGGAGAGGTTGGAGTGTACTGAAGGCATTTATCGGCTATTGACACACCAGGCACAAAAGTCAAAATGGCCCATGGCCTCTTGAATTTGGTATTTTTGCTGAGTATAACTGGCTGCCTTTGTCAAAGGGATTGCACTGGTGTGAATTGCCCTGAATTGCACAACTGCATCGAAGAGGTTTTAGACACCGGAGCGTGTTGCGCTACCTGCATGCAAACAGGCTGCATGTGCGAGGGTTACCAATATTACGACTGCATCAGTGCTGGCTTTAGAACTGGCAAGGTTCCAGAAGGCGAGTCGTACTTTGTGGACTTTGGGAGTACTGAATGTTCCTGCCCACAAGGAGGTGGACGGATCAGCTGCCATTTTATTCCATGCCCTGAGCTTCCGACCAACTGCATAGAATTGTCGGAACCGTCGGATGGGTGCATTCAGTGTGAGCGAATTGGATGCGTTCACGAGGGGCAGAAGTACGAAGCTGGACACTCATTCCAAATGGACCCTTGCCAAGTATGCCACTGCCCAAATGAAGGTGGGAACCCAATGTGCTATCCGATTCCAAACTGCGACCCAAATCGCACTTCAAAACCCATGCTGACCACAACAGCTGAGGAAAGCACATCAGAAAGCCGTTACCAAGATCCTATACGACACATTTTTAACCATCAAAGCTTTAGAGGTCGCTTTAACAAACACTTTCCCGTACACAGCGATAGCAATCTTCCTTTTAAGCTACATATGAGAAACGTAGATGAGAAGGAAGAGGATGACGAAGACTATGATTATCCTCCCACTGATTCCTTAGCTCCATCTCTGCATGATTTTGCTGCTCCCACGGAGTCATCCATCATCGCTGTATCTCATTCAGATAATTTTACCCCCCGCCAGGGCGTGCACAGAGGAGCCAAGCAAGAGCTGAGGGAGATGTTTGGTATTCGTATGTCCACAACAGACAAGCCGCAGTTTCCTTTCTATAAGGACAGTACTGACAGGATGAGAGCTGGCATTCATAACGACAAACCAAAAAATGAGCTATTCAGCCCTCTGAAATATAAAACAGACCGGGAACGATTCATCCTTCCTGTGGAAACTACAAACAGAGTGGGATTCTCCACACACAAAGATAACACAGAGATACAGAGCTTTAGTCTTTATAAAGACAACTCCAATCAAGAGGCCCAAATAGATGATGAACAGCTTGAATTTCCTTCAGAAACTACTGATGGGGATACATATACCTCACAGGAAGACACCACATACAGCGAAACGGTTACTGACTCTCCGGTGACTGTTGAGCAATCTACATCTCCGCTTTGGGAAACCACAACTTCATTGCAGACCACTTGGGACGGTGTATCAGAGATTCCAATTCATTCACATCACATTCACCTCCACACTGTGGAAACAGACGGCTCCAAAAAAGAAGAAACGATCACAAGAGGTTCTAGTAAGGAAAAAGCAGCTGTTTTGAATTCAACTACTAGCACTGATGGCCTTCAGTATGAACATATCCTAAGTATTCAAAGTCCCGTTAAGCAAAGTGTGACCATCCCTACCAAAACTTTAACAGAACATGGAAAATCAGAAGCAGAACTTGAAGAGGAACACAAAAGACTTTCAGTGGACCACAGAGAACCTTCTGTAGACCACAAACAACATCCTGCTGAACACATAAAACCCCTTGAGCGCCAAAAAGCAGAACATGTGCAGACTTTAGGAGAACACAACACTGAGCTTGAAAGGAAACATCAGTGGCAGTTGTTCTCTCTAGTTAGATTTAGTCCAACCAGCCCACCTTCAAACAAACAGTCCTATAGTCTGTTTAACTTCAGAGAGGAGGAGGAAGAGGCAGACAACACCCTCAGAACTCATTCTAGGATGGAGGAGGGTGAGTTAACAGGCAATTGCTTGTCATTTATTCAGTGTTTCAAGTGCTGAACTGTTATGCTGAAGAGTTTTACTGCATAATTAATGCTAATGTGATTAATAGTTGACATTCACCTGGTACCATAAACTGTTATTTTGAGTGCTTGGCGACTTGCCATAGACAATCACAGCTGTGTAAAGACGACTGTAATGTATTGCCGGGGAATACACAGGGCCTTGCACCCTGTGGTATGACAAGACAAAACAAATAGGCCCCTCTTGAGATGTTTAAGTTGGCTTGTTTTCACAGATCACATGGCAGGTTACCAATTAAAGTATTTCTGGTATCACACAGTGCTTAGGAAAACTGTTTGCTGTCATGTTTGATTTTGACACGTAAATGGTAAGGACTCTTGCTAGTCCCAGGAATTGTGATCTGGAGCATAAATATTCAACTCAGGGGGGCCGTCTGGATTGTGAAGCCAAACACCGCACCCGCTGGGATCATCCTCCTCGCTCAGTCATCATATTCACTCACACACCACCTAACACCCGTGTGTCGTTTAGCACGCTCTAAGCTTCAATTAGCAGAAATCACTGCTAACTATAAACACACCATTGACTGGAAAATGGCTTGTGACTTTGAACCAAAAGGTGTTTATAGGTTTTGTCTGTATAATTCATCTTGACTTGTACTGGAATAGAAATATTTAATTGGGCTTTTGAATGAGGCACCAAGGTAACTCAATATGTTCCCAGTGCCTACTAAATATTGTGTGACGAAATCCCTGACTTCAGATTTTTGATAAGATGGCGACTAGTCTAGACTATAAGAGTGAACATTTTTGGCTGTTTGGCTAATATAATAATAATATATTGTACTATGACAATAAATCCAATACAGTTAATGGGTGAATATGACTAAACCTCTCAAGAACATGCCCAGGTCATATTTCACTGCAAAATTAAAAGGAAGAAATGATTTAGCCGTTATATTATTAAATACTGTAACATATATTACAGATATATTATATAAATTGTTAAGTATTTATACATGTTTTATCATAGTGGTATTTCTTTTAGTACCTTTAAATGCTGATGTTTCTCGCTGCAAGACTGTAAAATCACTGTATTATAATGAAGAGAATCACCATTGAAATAAACTCAACTGTAACATCTGGAAGCATTACAGTAATGAGAATTTTGGGGAAAGTATGCTTAATTGTCATTAAAATAATGTCCCAAGGCAAACATTCTTAATAACAGGCTTTATTTTCTTAATTTATTTTATTTGATGGACATGTTGGATGGACCTGGACATGTTTTTACGAGATTCACCCATATAAAGTTTTCAGTTTTGCTCCAGAGGTTTTATGAAATGATGAATTGTTCTGTTCCCAAATGTAAAACTGTTTTTCTAGAACTGTTGTTTGCATAACATTGATAGATGTAACCTTTTGAATTGCACAGAATAACTCAATCCGTTATCGTTTCTTTTTGTCTAGTTACTGTTTGGCTGCCAAGATCAGACTGTTTTGTCTTGTGTAGCTTTCATTGTTTAGGCAAGGTCAGGTCACAGCTTGTCTCTGCAAGATTAGTGAAGTGCTATTTTTGCTGTGACCAAGACAAGATGCTCTAAAATAACGCATGTAAAGCTTACCCTCTCAGTCAAGTGGATTCCCTGATAATAGTAAAGAGTTAAATCTTAGACTGGAAGGGTCAGTCCAGATCATTGTGACAAGGCTACTTCAACCAAAAGTCAACATTGCACAATTAGTTAGATAAGGAGAGAAACTAGTTATCTTGCAGGATGCCAGTTGGCCATTGCTCAAAATAAGCAGCTCTTAAGTGTGGAAACACTTGGAGCTCTCAACAGTTTGCCTTTCTGCATTGCATGAGTATGATAATCAGGAAAAGTGGAGGCATACTGTACTGATAATATGTTTGGCAGGAAAGCAGTTTATCGTTTTGCACATACCGGCATGACCAACATGTGCACTGAATTTAAAGTCAGAGGTTCAGAAGTAGCAGCCTAGGCTGTTTGCCTTGCATGATGCATCTCACCCGCCTATCATGAATGTCTGAAATCGAGATAAGCATCGTCCAATGGAAAACTTGCTGTTTGGGACCACATAAGAACATGTTTTTATGTGTGTGTTTGTGACAAAAAAAGCTGAAAAAAATTCTTTAGCCCCGTTAAGCCTTGGCAGAATCCAAAATACAGATATATAGGCGTTTTAAAAGTTAAAACTCAGGACAGGGGAGATAAACATGCATTTCTGAGGGCTCATCGACTGTCTGCCTTGAAGTTTTATTGATCAGTTTCTCCTTGAACCAAGGCAGTTATTAAAGGAGAGTATTTGATGTAATTCCAGCTGGAATATGTGAACCATTTTTATTTTGAAAGTCGTAGCGTCTGTGTCCTCTTGCTCTAAGATTGAGCTCCATTGCGAGCATAATATGCTAATCACATGAATGCACTATTTTAAACAGACTATTAGCAGTTAGAATGATCGAAAATGAAATTTGTGGAGAAAATCAGGAATATGCGTCAAAAATCAAACTATAAGACCAAACAGTCTTCTCTTATTTGCTTGGGATGAAAAGGTGCTGGTGCTAATATGTCTGTATGTGCATGTGGTGCTTTAGTGAGAACTTTAGCTCTTTGTTGATATCCTTTTTTACGTCTGATTGTTTACTGCCAGCAGTAATGCAGTGATTTGTGATGCTGTCTTATCCTCATTCAAATGCATCTAGGCTCTGTTCACCTTTAAGAATTAAAGAGACTCAGAGCCACACAGAGATAATGATAAAGACAGGGCTCTGGAGATTTATTTTTCCCCTCAAGGCTGACACTTACTGCAGGAAGTCGAGTCTACATTTAAGTTTGTACTCAGATTTGTTATACATTCTCATAAGGAAACATCATAGTGGCTTTCATCCTGTACCACAAAAACATCATTCTTGTTGCATTTAAGTATTTAGCTTGTTAACTCTAACTCAGTTATACCTGAAAAGAATAAGATGTTGCTGAGTTCCGTACTGATTTGATCATTTGAAGTATTTAATAAAGTCAAGATGGATTTCTTTGCCTAGAGATAGGGCTGCATGATTATGACAAAAGTCATAATTGTCGATTATTCCCTTGAAACTGTAATTGCGATTATTTTCATTGAATGATGTTTTGAATAGTTTTATATCATTGTTTTGAAGCAACTGCATGCCATATTTTTATATGAAAATAAACAAGCTGAAAACGCTCTTCCTGAAAAACTTTTATTGCTTTTCTATAGCATTAAGCCTCAAATGTCAACTACATGTTGTAGAAAGAATAAAAAAACACATTAAGCATGCAGAATAATGTAAGTGGACTTTTTTTTTTGTAATTGTGCCTTTGAACGATTATGTAATTGTGGCATCCGTAATTGTAATCACGATTAGAAATGTGATTAATTGTGTAGCACAACCTAGAGATTTACAAATATAATGCACATGCACAAACTACTAAAGTTGTGTGATGCATCAAATGCTCATTATGGCAACACAATGCAACTAATCACCACTAATAATGTATTGCTTAATAAAATTCCAGCTATTCCCTCTTAACAAATCAGTCATGTTTAAACTAGAAAGATGGATACATCCTTTTAATAATGTTGGCTGCTTTTTCCAAGAGCTGATGCCAGAAAGATTTTGTGGAGAAACACAGTATGTGTGAGACGTCAATAGATTTGGTGATTTCTGAGATTAATGGCCTCTGTGTTTTAGTCCGAGTCCAAAATATATGGAATCTTATTGTGGCTAATGTATGCTTTCTGCATCCTTGAAAATATGAGTTTGTGCTAAGATAAATGACAATGATCCTCATGCATAGTGAATTGTATGGTGTTAAAATGCACATTAATTTGAATCTTGCCTGTCAGCCTCAAAGCATGTATTCTGCCCAATGTAAATTGCTGGTGATTGGCTCTTACACTCATCCATGGATACTATATCTACTGGGTTATTTCTGTCCATAATACATGCTGATCCAGATTCAGAATATATTATGTCTTCATATTTTAGAGATTACAGTGATTTTGTGTTTTTTAAAATGAGAAGACACTCACAGTAAAATGAGCAGGTTACACTTGACTTTATTATTGTGTATTTATTTTGTTTATCGTATGTTTCTTCCTGCATTTTGTCAATGATATTTGACATCTTTTTGAAACATTTAATTTTTCCCCCTGAAATCTGCCTGTAATGTTAGTCAAGGTTTTTTGTACCGAAGATAGTTGTAGTGCAGAAATTTCCATCCTCTCTCTGATCCTTAGAATGTTTTGGTTTCCACACTAATATTAGGCAGCAAGAACAAATATCTTGAGCCCCAAATCCGCATATAGGCCTTTTTCACGGTCTGCGTTCGGAAACCGGAAGTTTCGAGTAGTTGTGTAAAATAACTTAGCCTGCGTGAATGCCCATAGCACGAGATTGTTGTGATTTATTAATGAACAATTCATCATAGATGTTTCATCAAAACATGTTAACCACAGTTTTCAAACATTAATCGGGTATGACGAATCAAGGAAAAATGTTGTCATGATATTCTGATGCATATTTCATGATTTAAATGGGAGCGCACTAGGCGTATGTATTCACAATACTTCAGAGACAGGCCAGCTTTTTACTTAAATGCAAGAATACCATACAAACATATTGCATTAAAGAGCAATAAAATCGGACAAGCTTATACATCTTATAAAACATTACCCACGACTAAAGACTGTACAAATTAAACAGTAATAATGTTAGCATTGCTTTCGTGCACTTACTTTACTTTCCGATAGGCTAATCGTCAAGTATTAGATCAAATTGGAGTTGTTTAAATATATTCATATTTTTCATACCAGAGTTATTAAAAATAAGTGGTTTTACCATCTTTAATGTGACATATCCTGAGCACAGTGATTGAATAGCATTATACTGTAGATAAGATTGGAGATGAATCGTAGTGCACTGTGCAATAATAAAAACAATAAC